AGCCGGCTGGCGTGGGGAGGGCACGGAGGCAGAGGGCTGGCTGGCTGGGGAGAGAGTCGGGAAGGGTCCTGCTGGCTGGAATGACGCCGCGGCTGACCGGCTGGCTTGCCTGGCTCCGGCAATGACCATCCGCCAATCCCTGCCGCCCCCAGGAGCGGCGATGTCCGTGCAGGTGGCGGCCCCCGGAAACGCGGCCCTGGGCCCGGAGCGCCTGAGCCCCGAGGAGCTGGTGCGCCAGACACGGCAGGTGGTCCAGGGGCTGGAGGCCCTGCGGGCGGAGCACCGTGGCCTGGCCAGGCACCTGGCAGAGGCCCTGGCAGGGCAGGGCCTGGTGGCGGGCTTGGAGCTACTGGAAGAAAAGCAGCAGGTGGTGAGCCACGCGCTGGAGGCCATCGAGCTGGGACTGGGTGAGGCCCAGGTATGAGGGGACCGGCGATCCCGCTGTGGTGCCGGGGAGGCTCGGAGCTGGGAGGAGGCCCGGGGATGAAGGGGGCAGGTGTGTGGGGTGGGGGAGGGAAGCCTGGAGCAGGGAAGGCCTAGGCTGGGTTAGGCTTAGGGGTCCCTGGGCAGCATTACCGGGTCCTTGTGTGGGACAGGGGCCCCTGAACCAGATCGTGTCCATCTATAGAACTTGTCCTAGGGAGACTTTGGGGGTTACCTGGGCAGAATGTGAAGTGTCCCTACGCATGATTTGTGTGCCTAGGTAAAATCAGAAGGGTCCCTGGGCAGGATGTGGGTACGCCCCTGGGAGCCTCTGCCTATCCTTGGGAGTCACACGGAAGGGCCTGTGTAGGATCCGGGGGATCCTGGGTGGAATGGGGGTGCGCTGGCGCGATCGGAGGCCCCGGGGTGGACCAGGGGCTGTCGGGCAGGGTGGGGACCGGCCCCTGCTCCCCAACCCCCTACAGGTGCTGCTGGCCCTGTCCGCGCACGTGGGCTCCCTGGAGGCAGAGAAGCAGCGGCTGCGAGCGCAGGCCCGGCGGCTGGCCCAGGAGAACTCGTGGCTGCGGGAGGAGCTGGAGGAGACGCAGCGACGGCTGAGGGCCAGCGAGGAGGCCGTGGCCCAGCTGGAGGAGGAGAAGAACCACCTCGAGTTCCTAGGGCAGCTGAGGCAGTATGACCCGCCCGCGGAGAACCAGGTGCTGCAGGGCCAGCGGGGACCAGGGCCACAATGCGTTCCCCCCCCCCCACTGGCCCTCCTTAGGTACCCCACAGACCTGCACTCTCCACGGAGCCCCCAGCGCCGTAGACCCTTCAAAGAACCCCCTTGAATTCCCACAGAACCCCCCAGCTTCCACACCCCTCTCCAGATCCTCCCCGAGCCCTCCGGAAACTTCCCGAGGCTCCTGAATGCTACCTCCCTCAAACCCTGAGACCCAGGACCCCGGTCTCTAAAACAGACTTCCCAGCCCTCATGACTCCCCGCTTTCCTGTCTTCTGCAGCGGCCTGAATCCCCGCCTCGCCGGGACAGCCTGGCCTCCCTGTTCCCCAGTGAGGAGGAAGAGAGGAAAGGTGGGTGTGGGGGAGCACGCGATGGTGGGGCACTCAGCCTCGGAGGATGAGGGGCCGTGAGCCCCCAGGGTCTCCGGGCAGGGATGTGGGCATCGGGGCCGGGTATCGGGAGTAAGTGGCTGGGCCAGGGTGGGTGGCAGCTGGCAGGGGAGGCTGGTAGCCGTGAAGCCAGCCCTCCACCCTTGGCTCCCCCCCCCCCCCACCCCGGGTAGACCCCATGTTCACAGCCCTTGGACCAGTTAGACGCCTGCGATCCCAATCTCAGACGTCAGCCCAGCGGCCAGTGGAGCTGCGAGGCAGCTATAGTTCTGGGGGTGCATGTGTTCCCTTTCGTAGGGTGGGAGGGGTAGACTTGCAGTGACTCGACGCCCCCCACCTGCAGGTCCGGAGGCAGTGGGGGCCGCAGCCGCTCAGCAGGGGGGCTATGAGATCCCCGCCCGCCTTCGGACCCTGCACAACCTCGTGATCCAGTACGCAGGGCAGGGCCGCTACGAGGTCGCCGTGCCACTGTGCCGCCAGGCCTTAGAGGACCTCGAGCGGAGCTCAGGCCACTGCCACCCTGACGTGGCCACCATGCTCAACATCCTGGCGCTGGTGTACCGGTGAGGGCCGCCGTCGGCCGTGGACCTATTGCTGGGGGCAGGGGAGCCAGCATGGGGCACCTGGACTGGTGGGTGGGGGCGTTGAGAGGGATCTGGGGAAACCACTGTAACCCAGGCAAAGAGGAATCCAAGAACGTGGGTAACCGACCCCAACAGACAGGGAAGAGACGTTGGGGTGGTTGGAGGCAATCTGGGGGTAAAGGGACCCTGTGCTAGACTTGGGAGGTGCGGAGACCCAGAAGGGATCGCAGAAGGGTGGTGCCATCCCGCTTGGTTCAGCCAAGTACTACCGAGCACAGCTGACCGCCCCCCCCCCCACCTCCATCCCTGGGCCACCCCACAGGGACCAGAACAAGTACAAAGAGGCCACAGACCTTCTCCACGATGCCCTGCAGATTCGGGAGCAGACGCTGGGCCCCGAGCACCCCGCGGTGAGGAGGGGACGAGGAGTGAGGGCTGCGGGGCCGTGCCTCCCACCCCTGACCTGCCTCCCCCGCTCCACAGGTGGCCGCCACCCTCAACAACCTGGCTGTGCTCTATGGGAAGCGCGGGCGTTACCGGGAGGCCGAGCCGCTGTGCCAGCGTGCCCTGGAGATCCGCGAGAAGGTATTGCCACCACCCCCTGCCCAGCACAGTCCCCTGCCCCTTCCCACTCGATCCTGATGCGCTCAAATCAGTGGCTCTTGCGTTGCAACCCTGATCCCATGATGTCCTTGCCATCTGGTATCATGAGCACCCAGTCTGAGCCTGAATTGCCCCATCGCATGACTCCCTACCCTTGACCTTCGGTGAGCTCCACCTGATCTTGACTCCTGACTCTGATCCTCCTTAGAAATCCCCTCATGTGCCCTCCAACCCGGTCCTGACCTTCCAACCCCATCGGGGCCCCCCCCCCATGACTTTGTGACCTGATAAATGGCATTTGTGTGACTTCTACCCTCCCACAATTCTCCCCATTGATCTTATAAACCTTAACTCCTGGCCCCCATCACGGCTGCTGGCATCACGTGGCCCACCAATCCCACTGACCCCTAGGTCCTGGGCACCGACCACCCGGACGTGGCCAAGCAGCTCAACAACCTGGCCCTGCTCTGTCAGAACCAGGGCAAGTTCGAGGAGGTGGAACAGCACTATGCCCGAGCCCTGAGCATTTATGAGGCCCTGGGGGGGCCCCACGACCCGAACGTGGCCAAGACCAAGAACAACCTGGTGAGGGCATGGCGGGGCACAGGTACAACCTGGGGCGGACTGCCAGGGTCCCTCGGGAGGGAACCACATTGGCTCAAGGGTGGGACAGGCTGGAGGCCAGTATCCCCCCCTCCTCTGCTGAGCCCCTGGAGGAGGGGTCCTCTCCGACCCAGCCTCAGCTCGAGATCGCTCAGCACAGGAAGGACATGGAAATATCAGGAAACCATGCGTGTCGCTGGGGCCAAGATGTCAGTGTCCTATTTATTGAGCTCTAGCCACCACCCCCCCCCCGCCTTTTTTAGTACCTTCCCGGTACCCTCCGCTTCTTAAAGGGCCCTAGGAGGGAGGTGCTGTTACCGTCCCATTTTGCAAACGAGGAAATTGAGGCACAAAGAGGTGGTGTCACTAGCCCAAGGCAGAGCAGGAACCAGTCACCTGCCCTTGGTCACTAGGTGGGAGGTTGGGGGCGGACGCGTCTGGCTCCTCCTGTAACACCGGGCTCAGGGAGGTAGATCGGAGCCAAGATCACCCAGGCCCTCCCCTCCCCGCAGGCCTCGGCCTACCTGAAACAGAACAAGTACCAGCAGGCAGAAGAGCTGTACAAAGAGATCCTCAGCCGGGAAGACCTGCCTGCCCCTCTGGGTGAGCCCCCTCCCGCGCCCCCCCCCCCCCAGGTGACTTCTCAGTGTCCCCACTGCACTGTCCCCCATCTGTTCTTAGGAGCCCCCCCCACAGGCACGGCTGGGGACACAGAACAGCAGGTGAGGATGGGTTTTGCTTCCGCCACAGGGGTGGGGCCTGGCTGGGAAGCGGGGACTGACCCCTTCCCCGGTGTCCTCCCCAGCCCCTGCGTCGGAGCAGCTCATTCTCCAAGTTCCGCGAGTCCCTCCGGCGTGGAAGCGAGAAGTTGGTCTCCCGTCTCCGAGGCGAGGGGGTGGCTGGGGCAGCAGGGTGAGTGGTCCACTGGGTCAGCAGAGAGCCCGACGGCTGCAGCCTCTGCAACCCACCCCACCCCCTGTCCTGCTCAAGAACCGTCTATGGTTCCCATCTGCTCTGGGACACGAACAGTCAGATCAGGTGCTGGGACGGTCTTCCCCAGAGCAGGAGCCGGACCCTCTGGGACTCCCCCTCTTCTTACAGAATGAAGAGAGCCATGTCGCTCAATATGCTGAACGTGGATGGTCCAAAGGCTGCAGGGACCCAGGTGAGCGGGGCACTCGGGTCAAGGATGGAGTAGGGGGCCACGCTGGGAGACCCAGAGGCAAGGCTGGGTCCGGTCAGGCTAGAGTGGGGACAGAGACAGGGATGGACCAGCTAGTGAGCACGCTGGGGGGCGGCCCTCACGGCGACTGGAGCCCGGCCTCGTCCTGCCCCCGTGCCTGTCCGCAGTTCACCAACCAGCACCTGAGCGAGGCTGCTCGGACCCTCAGCGCCAGCACCCAGGACCTGGGCCCCCGCTGAAGTTGACAGAACCACATGGCTCCAGCTTCTCAGGAAGAGTGGGGAAGGGGTGAAGGTTGGCCTTTCAGCTCCCGGATGACCTCTCCCCTGGGGGGGGGGGCCCCGGGGTATCGGGCTTCACTGTGCCCCACTCTCCTCCTGCGATTAAAGGCTGTAGATTTGGAAGCCAGGAACATCTGCCTGCGGCTTCGTGCAAGGACCCGGGGCGACTTCCGGGCTGCTGGGACCCAGGGCCAGGTAGGACTCTGGAGTCCCCGCCCTGAGCTACAGCTGCTGAGCAATCTGCTCTATCCTCCGCAGCGTCTCCTCCGATTCCAGCTGCTCCAGGCTGAGCAGGGACAGGCCCAGCTGGTCCTCCTGGAGGGGACGGAGCAATCAGGTCAGGGGCAGGTGGTGTAGCGCTTCCCCACGGGACTCAGGGATCCAAGACTTGAACACCAGTAGTGACAGGAAGTGGCCTGCATCGGGCCTACTGGGGCTTTAGAAACCCGTCCGATGGGGAACATACCATCCCTGGCAGGCCAAAACAGGCCTGAGGGAGGGAGAGGGGAGCCGGCCGGACTCCCACACCCCTGCCCAATCACTACAGACGCCCCACGGGGCCCCCATTCCAAAGGCCTCTCTGTGGGGGGCAGGCTAGGGTTGAGAAAGTCAAGGGACCTTCCTGGACGAGGGGCTTAGCCACGTCCAGCTCACCCGGTGGAAGGGCTGAGCCATCTGCCTCAGGAAGTACTTGGCGACCTGGACCCCCTCATCCACCGTCAGGTTGAGGTTGGCGTCAGTGAGGTGCTCCTGGATCCAGCGGGGAAGCTTCCCGCGCTTGTCTGCCCGGGCGAACCGCTTTCGGCAGGCAGGCAAGGGAGAGAGGATAGACCTCAGGACCCTGGGAGTATGGGGGGGGGAGCCCAGGCCTCCCTCACCCTCTGGAAAAGGGGGGAGCACCCTGGCAGCCAGAGGCCCCTGAACCCCCACCTTATCGGCAAAGACCATGAGGCCATAGTCCGTCTTGCCCCTGATGGCCCGACCCACACACTGGGCTGCGTGGCGCATGGCATCGAAGGTGAGAAAGTCGTTCTCTCGGATCTGGAACTGGTCCCGCAGGTACTCCAGCCGCGCCTGCCGGTGAGAAGGTGGCAGAGCGGTCCCTCCGGCCCCCTCCACCCCGGCACCCATTCCAGGGGATGGCCCGAGGGGCCCTAACATCCTAGCGCCCCCCGGGGGCTGCTCACCTTGAGAATGCGGCTCTGGGTGTAGACGTAGGGAACGCCAAACATGATGACGGCCCTCCCGTAGTGGTGCACTGGGGGGCGAGCACAGGAGGGGCACGGGGTTACCGGGGTGGCCTGACCTCGCGTGGGCCAGGAGTTTGTGCTGTCTCAATGGGAAGAGCGCGGCTACGCTCCGAGGGCCCCACTGGGTACTCGGGACTCAGGAAGGGGAGATCCTGGTGTGTGCCCAGGCGAGGGGGGAGGGTGCTGTCGCCTGGGGCACCAGAAACAGCCAGAGCTCCACGCAGACACGGGGGGGGGGGGGGGGGGGG